CACTGCTGCTACATTTGTGTGTTGCGCACTGCAGAGTTGCATTTCTTTTCCCAGCAATCAGAGCTGCTTTGTTCCACTGATTGCAGTGTGGGGGTGTGTGTTTAGAGCTCATGGCACTAAGAGATAGTTGTTTATTTTGTAATAAAAGAAAATAAATATAATCAATATAAAATTTTACATCAGTTTAGTCTGCATTGCTTTGCTCAATGAATTAAACGCCCCCTAGCACTGGAATGAGTTGTGCATGGAAAATGTATGACGAGGTTTCCATGGCAAAGCGTGCCACTGTCATGAAAGTGGTGGTCGAGTCATTTCCAAGACTATATAGTTAATTGGGCAAAACAAAAATATGCCACTAAGCTGATACCGCATATCTTCACACTAGTGCAGCTGTCATCTCCGAGATAATGTACCAAATTTCGCCAATGAGACATTCCCATTTTTTGTCGTTTCGCTTTTCGCCCTTGTGAGGTTTTGGCATTTTGACATTTTATCATCCTGATTTTCCGGTGCTCCGATGTTCGGCCTTTTCAGAATTCGCTGCTTTGAGGTGGACCCACCGATGATATAATCTGGTCCAATGATATGAGTCCAATACTATAGCTGTCGTACACAGCATTAGATAGTTACCCAGACCATTTGAAAAAGAAACTAAAAATTAAAGTTCAATATAAGTGTACATCACTCAGTTTTATTGGCAAAGTGTAAGCAAAATAATATGAAACAATTGAAGTTTACAATTAGACACAAAGAACAGTTGGCACCTTGCAGCTAAGACATTGGCAGGACGTGAGCATAAGAGAATTAATACTCATTTTCATCAGATGTGCACAGGCAGCAACCTCAGAATGACATTTTCAGCTGGGAGACTCTAAAGGGATACTACAACGAAATTTTGGCGCTCATTTTTTTGTCTATATGTGTTCAAAGGAGCAGAATCACATCGAACATACCAATATCTTGTTAAAAAAGTCACGAAAAGGAATTTTAAAACGAATTAAACGATTAGAAAAGAGCACCTGGTGGATGTCGCTAACGCTTCGCTTGTAATGCCCGTCTAGGGACCTTGACAGTTAGTGACGGAGGTTGTCTCGCCTCCGGCCACGACGAGAGAGGAGGGGCAGTAGAAACTCCTCTCTTTCCGAGAATGCATTTTGTGTGTCGCAGAAGTCGCTATTTTCCTCCTACAAGATTAGAGAAGATTAACCCGTCACTCAAAATTCGTACAAAAGCAGTCGCTTCGGTGGCTGGAACGACTAGGCCATCCTCTCGACGTCAGCCTCGCCGTAGCGTTGCTCGTCCCGAGACGACCTGTGTCACGATTGCGTTGGATGTCGCGTGGTCTCCGCTGGGCCTTCTCCGATCGCTTGCCAGAGTGGGCCGTTTATAACGAAAAATACAGCCACCAGGCTCAAATACAAACGTGCGATTGTCGTTTACGGATATTGTGGATCAGATTCAACCTATTTTTGAACACGACGGGTATATTTCAAATTTCGTTGAAGTATCCCTTTAACTGTGTGAACAAATTGGCACACCGAAACAGACTTCTACAAGGTCAGCTTGAATTTGTGTAGTAGAAATGCTCGTTGACAAAGCAATCTTTTTCAGCCTGTGCAAGTACACCTATTTGTGTTCTAAACCTCGCAAAGTGTTAGACCAGCACCCTCCCGCTTCATCTCGGTTCATCATAAAATACCAGACAGTGCAGGCAAAGTAGGGATCACACTAAAAAAAAAAAGAACAGTAGATGAGGGCCACATATACAGGGACAACAGCATGCCGTCTCTAGCGCACCTGCAAGTTTATTTCCCCAATAGTCTGTCTAGAGGTGTGCAAATATTTGAAAGTTTCCAACAACGAATCAAATCTTGCCCTATTCTATTCATTACCCAAATTGAATATTGGTTTTTTAAAGTTTCTACTATTTTTTTAATAGTAGAAATACGACCTCAACGTCACGTGACACTTTCACAGGGCTGGAGTCGCTGTGATGGCTCGTTGCGTCTGCTGCGCTCGGACCGAAGGTGAAACGGTGGATAGTCCTCGTCACCTGCCTTAGTTATTATGATTTCTAAGCAACTGTAGTAAGTTCTATTCTGTTGGACTGTTGGACGGTGTACACTGCTCCATAAACTGTCTACCAACTATTCGAAAACTATTAAAAAATTACTCCATTTGGTGCCGCTATTATTGCATTCGGTTTAAAAAAAATCACTATTCGCACACCCCTGGTCTCTTTCCTACAACACTGGCCGCCCAACGTCGCTGGGGTGTTGACTGTTGTGATTGCCGGCAACATTAAAGGGGTTTCCATTGTATAAAAAAAGACTTATAAAAACAAACTTGCAGCTGCGTTTGAGACAGTCTGTTGTCCCTCTCTGTGTACCCATCACATGGGCAAGCTGTTTTCTTTCACGTGTTATTCTTTCTCATAGAAATTTGGCATGTCACATAAATCTGGCCCATGTTCATGCTCTATGAAGACACAGAGGCCTTCCGGCTCAGTTGATGAAAACACTGTCATATTCTCTTCATGGGGGATACAACGCATTTGTGGATGTATCGGGCACTTCCCATCCCGAAATCTTCAAGAATAAGACTCTTACAAACAAACAAAATGTTTCCACTTGTAAATACTGTGAATCTCGCAATAGGTTCCATCCTGCATTTTCAAAACCCCGTACAAGTCTTCTTAGCGAGCGCATAGTCTCGGCTGTTGACTACATACCCCTGCACCTTTGCCCTCGGGCACCTCTCAAGAGCAAGCACCCGACCAAAGCGTGATCCAGCACATCTTGCACGGCAGCGGTTAAAGTGACTGGCTGCGGAATGCCCAAAGTGTCACTCTTAGGAATGTCGGGAAGCTTCAAGTATGAATGCAACAGCAGGCCAAAGCTAGTTGGGAGGTGGGTGACTTCACTGAATCGCATCAGTGTCTGCGTCATGACCCACCTCTCAGCAACCTGCAGGGGAACCCCTTTTGCGGCAGTGATGAGGTGCAAAAGTGTACCATTTGCACTTTTAAACAGAAACACTTATGAAGCCCACAAAGGGCCGAGCTGCATGGCACTTTTCGGCAAATGCATAAGCAGATGCATGTTGGATGTCTCTGCTGCTTCGCCATCCAGGGCAGACAGTTGTCGAAGAAAGCGTGTTAAAAGCGCTTCGGCAGCTTTGATGTCGTTCCTGTGGACAGTTTTCTGCAGAAGAAATATGGCCTCGCACAAGAGTGTGAAGTGCACAAAGTGCTGCCCTGGAAGTATCCTGTGAAGACGCGGTGTGGCATAGTAAATCAGCTAGTATTTCCATTCTTTGGCTTTCCACAATGCACTCTCCGTAAGAAATTGTGTCGAGCGTGAGAAAACGTGTGGAGGGCGCATCCTTGCAAGCCCCGTGTCTAGTGTATCAGTTCGGTTCCCGATATAAAAAGCAGCGCCTGTGCGCGAAAGCCAAGCCTTCATAAGCTGCTTTGTCACACCTTCGAGCACACACTGCATATAATCTGGTAGACTTGGTAGAGTCCCTGCAGAATGGCCATTGGGCTGGGTCCATACATGCCATATGTTGGGGTTCCAAACGTCGTAGCTGCCCTCACGTCCTGCAGTACACCCTCGTGTGTCCTTTCGGTTTTAATGCTACTGTAGGGAAATCTCAGGGTACCTATATTCAAAAGACCCAAGCAAATGTTAAATGATGAAGCGCCGCAGCCTATTACAACCAGGCATTAATCTGAAAAAATCTGGTTCCACAGTGATGCAGTATGGATGCAGTAATTCTCTTCCATAGAATTGCAACGAAGCCTATAAGAGCCATAGCTGGGGGTTAAAATTTTATTATGGTTATTTTAGCTAGGGAGCAAGGGAAAAACAGGACTTGTGTATTTGTGGTTATACTAATGTGCCATAGATTGGAGCCTTTGAAGCGAAAGCTTGCGTTGCGGAACCCAAGGGTTCCTATTTCCACCCCTGCCCGCTTCGATTCGGATGAGCACTCTTGCTTCTACCCGGTCGTGGCTGCGACAAGCTGGTTCCCGCGGATCTGTTAATCTTAGTCACTCTGTTCGACATTCTTTGTTTCGGGACCGCATACGCTACACCTGGCTCCAAGTGCTGCTTCCTCCTTCTCTTGGAAGTAAACGGAGGTAGGTGACATTATGATTGATGGCACTGGTTGCACAAAACAAAAAAAAACAAAACCTGCTTATCAGCTAAACTGGACGCCAGGCGGACGACAGGGAAGGATGATTCACGGTGCCCAGATAGTCGATGTCCGCGCGTTTTACTTTAGATGCGAGGGACGCTACAGCATGAGCCCCATCCTCCGTGAGTTCCTTACGCGAGGTCGGGCAGTGCGGGCGCCGTTTCAGGCCGCATGCTCGCGCTTGTACCTTCGGCTTCGCTCGTACGTAAGGTAACACCACGTAGATCCGAGCGTGAAGAAGCTTTGAAACATCGGAGTGTCAAGCTCACGCGCGAAACCTGAGACAGTGCACACGATTAAGGTATGGCGTTTCCCAGACATTAAAATAAAAAGAAGCCAAAATGGCGGAAAAATTAGACAATTCCAATGTTTACAAAAGTCACACTCCACTCGTACTCGACAGCAGTCCAGCGAGCGCGGGCTCACAACTGCGACGGGTGGTCGGAAACACAGTGGTCGGAAACTTTTACATGTGCTGGCCAGCGTCTACTCGAGACCGACAGCAGCAGAGCGGAAGCGGAAACTGGTCTCGACTTCAAGGTGAATGATGGTCCTCGTTTGGTTTTTACTGCACCCTGGTTTCTCATATGACAATCAAATATTTGTGAAAGTAAAAATGTATGTTCTAAATATTTTTTGCACACTTTACATTTAAATATATTTAAGTATTTACCGACAACTTGCGCCCTCTGGATTCAATCCCAATATGTTTGTGCATCTGTGCGGCCCGTGTGCTTGCCTTTCTTAGTGCTTTCTTTCTTCGTCTGTATCTGCACGCATCGAGACTGAAATCGGTCATGTGCGAGAACGAGATATTGGTATTAGTACGGTACAAAGTTGACCATACAACTGCGGTTGTCTCAAGCACAAAAATCAGAAACTTCTGCCCGATCACCATCGAGGATTTCAATCCCGACGTGCTGTATGAGGTGTTCTGGAGCGGAGATCAGAATACCAGAGGCGGCTACTATGAGGCGCAGATAATAGACATGGCAGGTATCGTAACATTTTCTTACGTTCCGTTCTGTGCAAGTTAGCAGTTGGTCGTGGTGTGCGCGAAACCACTTGAACGCCTCGCCTAGGCGATCGTTACTGCAGGACGCTATAAACTTTGCATTTTGCAACCGGGCGTAAACGACTCCTCTTTCCAGGCTCTGTTCACTATCATTAACCTTCGCAAAGTAAGCTTCATTGAAAATAAAATTTCTGTTTCTCTTTCTCTTTCTCTACCTAGTTTGCATCGTTTTCCCCGCGTGCCCTTAGCTCCGTCCTCAATGTCTTCATCTCGTATCCTCCAGCCGTGCTTTGATCAGCATTGTTTTCTTGTACTGACAAGCTTCTTTCATTGGTTTCTATAGCGAGGCAACTTGAACCACTAAACAACAGTAGAAGGCCTGGTTTGATCGTGTTTTAATGCGTAGCTATCAAGGGTTCATGTGCGGGCGAAAGAAATACAGTGTTTAGTGGTTATCAATATTTTTCTTGCATCTCAAAAGGAACGTTTAGAACTAATGTTTGGCGCTGTCAGAATAATCCATGAATTGCAGTTCTGCAAGATGGAGAAAAGGGCTACATAATTTTTTGTCGAGGGACCGGCGATCAAAGGGGAACCCGATGCCCGTTCCACTGCGTGGCTGACGCCTACCAGCAAGGGCAGTCGCCGTGCAGGCTTCGCCAACACCATGCCAACAACGATGATCCTGGTATCCAGCAGTGTTTATTGAGAACCAGGGGTTCCCAACGAGACACTGTGGTAAAGCGAGAGAGTGCCCGCAGCGGCCGCTGACCTGAGAACCAAAGGGGTATTGCGAGCGGAGTCATCATCGGTGGGCCGAGCTCACGCCGCTACCCGTCGTCGCAGGTGTTCGGGCGAGGGCTCTCGGCAGACGGACGTCAACTAGAAAAAAGGGACGCCCACTGTCAGACCCAGGGTAAACGCTAGCTTGGAGTGATCGCTGGTCAGACGGTCTTGTACGCCGCGACTCAACTTGTCGCCCGTAGTCCAATTCAGGACACCTCAACCAGACGGCCGTCCACTCGGAGTCGGGCCTGCTCCCCTCCGAGTAGACGGAGGGGAGCAGGCCCGACTCCGAGTCAAGGAGTCCTGGATTGAACTCCCGGTGACGAGTCAAGTCGCGGCATACGAACTCGTCCGACCGGCGTCCCCTCCTCCTAGTGGACGTCCATCTGCCAAGAGCCCTGGCCCCGAACCACCCCGACGACAGTAGCAGAGTGAGCTTGGCCCACTGGCGATTACTCAGCTCGCAATCAGAGGCGGATCCAGAACTCCGTTCTGGGGGGGGGGGGGGGGGGGGGGGGGGGGGGGGGCAAAATATTTGCAAGGATACCATTCTCCCATTCTTTCTTGTGCTCCGGTAGTCCACCAACGTCAAATTGCCCTCCGAGAAGGGGGGGGGGGCGACTTTGTTTTAGGGGGGCGGCCGCCCCCGTGGCTTCCTCCCCCTTAGATCCGCTCCTGCTCGCAATACCCCTTTGGCTCTTAGGTTGGCAGCTGCTGCAGGCACTCTGTGTCCACGGCTCGCTTGACCACAGTGTGGTTGGGGGCCCCTGGTTCGCAATAAATGCGGTTGGATACCGGGATCATCACTGTTGGCATGGCGTTGGTGAACCCGGCGCCGTGACCGCCTTCGCTGGTATCCGTCGTTCCGTCAGTTGCGCAGTGGGACGGGCATCGGGTTCCCCTCCGAGTGCCGGTCCCCCGTAAAGCTTTCCCCACAAAACTTACATGGAAACGTAGGCTCCTCAATCATTGCATGTACTATCACGGACAAAAATCCCTAGGATGCATGAGCAATCAACAAAACAAATTGTTGCGCCACCTACCGGTGGCTTGCCTGGTTTTGAGACCACGGAAAAGCTTATGCGCATCATACTGTGCTTGCAGGCATAGGTTTTCGTCCACCCCTCTGCAACACGGTCCTTACCCCAGAATGCTGCACAAGGTGCTGCTTCGGCGGTTGCCGTGATGAACGTCTGCTACAGTTGCCACAACAGCATGTAGCGCTTGCGAGTCTGTTTTCCGAATACGAAGATTCCACGCTCTTCCTATCGCAATTATTAGGGTGTGCATTCTGATATGGCATTGAATGAGCTAACAGCTCATTTCGTTCTAAAACCGGATGCGCCGTCTCTATGCTATACGCCGCAAAGTCGCAACCGCTATCTCCACTCTGCCCTAGCTGACGTTCATTATGGCATCCGACGAAGCGGCAATTGACGTCAGGTTCTGAGATAAGCACCATGTCGCAGAAGGGCTGCAGAACACATGCCTCCAAGGACAGTAGAATGCGTGTGCGCTCTTCTGTGGTCTTGCAACCAGGTGAGCCACCGGAAGAGGGCACAACTGTGCGAATCAGTCACCGCTCGCGCATCCTGAGGATTTTTGTCCGTTCTCGTTTCTAAAAGAAACAACCAAATCCACAAATTACAGAATGTGAAGACGACTTGCAAGTCTCGAGAAGGAGAAGGATAAAGCCACTGCCCACGGCAGCAGCGACCGAATTTACTTGCCCTCCAAATAAGGTATTTTTGTCATACTTCTGTTTTTATTTCCTATTAACTAAACAACTCTTTTGTTGAACAGCAAAAGGAAAAACTGCTAAAGAAGGCATCAAAGCGTCAAAGAGATGTAGAACTGCTCAACAAGATCGATCACGAGCACTCCGTACCACTAGAGCAGCACACGGCAGTTCTCCGTAAACTGAAAGAGAAAACCAAAGCACTTGAGAGGTGCCAAAAACTGAATGTGGAGCTGCAAGAGGCTCTCTGCCTAAAGATCACCGAGGCAGGCAAGTATTCTTTTGTGTTTTGTATTGCTTACAGGGTACAGGCTCGCCACTGCCACTTAATGATTAGGCAATGAAAAGGGGTGAAGTTTGTGTAAAGTTCAGCGGTTCGAGGTGAAGCCCCTCTTTAATCGTCTCACCTCGGGCTTTGCCTGCTTGTCATCTGGCCCGCAAGTTGTATGTGCGGACGGGGCGGATGGAGCCATTTTCAACTATCCGTAGCTCTGAGCACAGGCTATGAACAATTTCATTTAATTTGTTTCACTTCTGATTCCATTCTGTATCTCTGCTATAATTTTAATGTGTCCTCCCTTTAGAGTGTCACCAGTGCCAGAATGCTGCGGCGGGGGACACTCAACCCGTTTATTATTTAGACTGTAACGAGTCTTATGTCGACGACGTGGAACGGCATCCTGGATGGTCATCTCTCGAGGAAATGTGTTCCAAGTCACTGGAGCAAACATTGCCAGCTGCTGGGGTGTCTTCCCTACCACGGCACCAGACACGGAGGGGGCGTCGGCAACTGCTGGAAAGTCACTTGCCACCTCAGCACCAGGCACGGTGACACCAGCTGTGAAGGCTGGCGCACACCAAGCAGCTCAGCAAGAGAAACAACAGCAGGCTGTGTGTGACTTGCCGATGGTAAGAAGCAGGCTACCTTTTTAGTAAATATTATGTTGCACCGTTGAAAATTGGGCAAGTTGGTTATACTTAGTTACAAAGAAGGAAACAGTGCCAAAAGCAGGGAGGGCAAAGAACGAAGAACAGACAGACCGAGTGATGAATGACAACAGGTTTATTTCTGGAAAACACCTACCGGCATAAAAACACAAACAAATTGACATCGGACCATCGCCTAAGGGCACATGTCACAGCTCTCCAAGAACATGATTTTTTTATCGAAGAGCGCAATCGAGGGAGCACTGACGCACTCATTCTTATACTTCAAAATGTAATAGGCCTCGAATATTTCATGAGTCACCTGCTGACTGTGCCGAGGAACAATCTTCGTCTTTTCCAAAGGAGTAGAGCACCCACACCTATCACAATGAATGGCCAAATTACCCGAGGGTGAAGATCTCACCGAAAGGGCGTGTTCTCTGCGCCTATTATTGATGCACCTCCCTGATTGGCCAAAGTAGTCTCCCACAGAACAACTCAATTTTGTACACCACGCCTACCGCGCACGGCACATACTCCTTCTAGTGCTTCTTACCACAGCCGAGTTTTTCCGGTCGAACCCTCTCAACCTTAGCACATAGACGCCCCGGTTTTGAAGGTGTCTATGCGCTAAGTTTGAGAGGGGTCGTCGGGAAAAACTCTGCTTTGGTAAGAAGCACAAGAAGGAGTTAGTGCCGTGTGCGGTCAGGGTGGTGCACAAAAGTGAGTTGTCCTGGGGAAGATTGTACTTTGGCCAATCAGAGAGGTGCATCAATAATAGGCGCAGAGAACACGCCCTTTCTGTGATCTTCACCTTCGGGTAATTTGGCCATTCATTGTGATAGATGTGGGTGCTCCCCTCTTTTGGAAAAGACGAAGATTGTTGCTCCGCACAGTCAGCGGGTTACTCGTGAAATATTCGAGGCATATTACATTTCGAAGTATAAGGATGAGTGCGTCAGTGCTCCCTCGATTGCCCTCTTCGATAAGGAAATCATGTTCTTGGAGAGCTGTGACATGTGCCCCTACGTGATGGTCCAATGTATGTTTGTCTGTGTTTTTATGCCGATAGGTGGTTTCCAGAAATAAACCAGTTTTCAGTCAGTGCTCGGCCTGTGTGTTCCTCGTTCTTTGTCCTCCATACTTTTGGCGCTGTTTCCCTCTTCGTAATTATGTTGCAGCATAGAGTGATGAGGGAATATGATGCACCATAAACTCTCATTATTCGCAGTGTTTTATTACCCCAATAAAAATTTGGACACAAGATGAAATGCACTCAAATGTGCCATGAAACAATCTTCTTACTTTAAATCACGGGTCACAGTGGACCCTCAACTTTCATAATCTGTGAAACATATTAGTTCTCTACAGATCAGCTATCGCTAAAAATATGGAGGTAATGTTGGCAGCTTCAGCTATCTGCTTCGCAAATCTGTACTTTTAAAACTGCACTCTTGCAATTATAAGAGTACAGAGCTAAAGGGAATGTGGCGTGGCTCTGTGTATGTGAAAAAAACACCAATTTCATTGATTTGGCTTTTAGAATAACAAATACCACAATTATACTCCGGTTCAACGCGCCGGAGAGCCATAAAACTGATTTCAAAATAGTGCAGAAGCCCCACCTTCCTGGCGTTCTACAGCCAAAGGCTCTGTAATAATGTCACATGCAGAGACTGTTTTTCATGTTTTCTCACGTTTCACAATACTTGCTCAAAAAATGGTTAAATCACTGGGGTAATTGCAAGAAAGCTCAAGAGCAATTCTCCCTCAACTAAGCCGCATGTTGCGTGTTCTCATCAACTGTGCCAGGCTGTTTGTCATAAAAGCATCACACCTATTTCTTTAGGTCAACATTGGACACAATGTGATGCTTGCTCACAAGAAGTGGAGCGATTTGTCCAAAAACACAGTAGATAGCGTTTTCACAAAGGAGGCTGCCACCTCAATTTGGGGCACAGATGTGCTGAAACGGAGGAGCCCCACCGGAACCTTGTCAAACAAAGCAAGGAGTCTTTGAAAAACAGAGGCCTTCCCTCCCCTGACGCCAGAAAAGGTGCAGGTGCTACGCAGTGAGTAATGTTGCATACAGGTCCTAGGAATGCTCCAAAGATTTATTTCACCAGCTGCTCTATGCTATAATTAACAATATTTGGCACAGATAGTGTTCCAGGCTTTGAGGAGGCTATGAACGTTTCTACTGTAAAATCTGTGAAAAAAAAATGTGAATATGGTCTTCTAAGATTTAAAACCACAATCGTATAAAAAATTTTATACGATTGTGGTTTTATCAGCAATCGGACTGCACCACTCTCATGATAATGAACGATTTATAAACACAAATCTTTGGGTGGTTCGCACGGGTACATAGCCCACATAGTGTAAAATATCAATGTTTAAACATGTTACAGCGGAGCTTTAAGGCCTATTTCCCCCATGGATCGTGTCCGCCAGCAAATAAATGTTGACACAACACTCTGGACAGCTGCCTCCATCTATGAGCGCCGGCGGCAAGCAGACAGCCGGTTTACTGGTTGTCGCGGTTGCTCACAGACAGCTCAACATTTCCAGCCTTTCCACTCTGTCTTGTCGACTTGCGGCCGGCCACTACTTCATTCCCACCATAGGACAGCTTCGCTGGCCTTCCTTCTTCACCAGAGTAGAAAGGCTGAAAGATTTTTAGTTTGAAAAATATTATACTAATGTACTCCTCCATTAGCCCTGCATTACATTAGAGGTTTTATTTTTTTTCTATTGGCCAATGTGAACCGTTGCCTGTCGCACTAGAGTTGAGTAAATATAATAGTTAAGAGTTGGCAGGAATGCAGTTCCCTAGCCACTTAAGGTCCATACGCACATTCGCGTTTGAACGCGTTTGAGTGCGTTCCGAGTCCTTGCGGCCAGGCGCGGTCGCTCGCGGTGCGACGCGCGCCTTCCCGCAACGCTCGTTAGCGCGACGCAAGCGAGTAGAGACTCGCTCAACTTTCCGAAGCGTTTGGGTGCGTTAGACCAATCAGAAGCCGAAAGAAGAGAGGGGGTGACGTGTCCGCTCGCCCACCCGGCCGACTCGGCGAAACGTATCCGGTTCGCCGGTCGCAGTGCTTGCTTTTTCGGTTTGGGGAGCGGTGTCGACTGGTTTTTCCAAGACTGCGATGTTGAAGTTCGACAAAGTGTCGGGGAAGCCAGCGGGATTGTCCCGAGATCGAACACTTTGGCGCTGTCCCTGGGCGTCGCCATGTTGCCGTGGATTTCGCTTACTATTGGTGAGCCGCTAGCTACGATAGCACCTTCTTATTGGCTCTTGACTGCGGTTGACTGCGTGTTAGCGCAACTGTGTGTACAGGCTTGGCACAAGCGCTCTTCGCAACGCAACTCGTCCGCTTGCCGCTACGGAACGCACCGCGCTCAAACGCACATGTGCGTATGGACCTTTAACTTTTGCAGTTAAGAAAAACATCAACTGCAGCATGTCCGAAATTTCCTTTAGTCTTCAAAGAATGTCATAACTTTAATTTTTTGTGTATACTTTCAGGCAGGAAGGCCGTCGTGAACGACCCGATGAGGAGACTCATTAAGCCTCGCCACAAGTAGGATGGGCCTGCATGTGGACTCTTCTTTTCTTTTTTTTTTTCTTTTTTTAATGTGTGAAAACATTTGTGGGAAAGATCAGCCATGCTATTGCAGGGTCCAATCGAGAAAGGTACACCTCATTTTACGTCCCGCAGAAACAAACTATGCACCACAGAACTCTGAAAGTCCGCCAGAATGTAACTCTAGCAATCCGAGCAAGGTCACAACGTAGCGTCATCTAATTAAAAATGTTATGAGTAATTATAAAATATTGTTAGCGTCAAAACGGCGACAGACAGAGCTCGCAAACAAATGGAGATGAATAGGAGACGCTTATAAATAGTTATAAGCTGGAATAGTTCTGACTTTCGTGTTTGGTGACTCTACATTCTGAAACTTTGGCATCTTGCTTGGACCTCTAGGGTCGCATTTTGGCGGAGTTTTAGTGTTCTGTGATGCATAGTTTTTTTTTTATGCAGTCAAAAAAGTCAGGTTTATTTTTCTTGATCGAACCCTGTACTATCTCTTTTGGAAGCTTGGAAACAGTATGGTTACAAGTACTTTCAGTAAAATGTTTGCATAATTTATTGTGCCCTAGCTGCCTGGTTGCCTCGTGGAAGGAAGTTTCATAGGCACTATCTGTGTGTTGGTATCTACAGGAAGTGGTGGACGGTACAAGTTTTCAGTGGTTTTGGCTGAGTCATTTTTTTCTCAAAGTATGCACATTCAATAATTATTCTACAAGCATTTAGTCATTTTAAATAGTCTAATATTATCCACTGTTTTATATTGAACAAGACCGTTGATAGTATTCCAGTTCCTTAAACAGCTGCTTCACAATCGGAGGCTGTTCCGTATAGTTCTAACGTCATCTTCCCTCAATGACACCTTCTAAATGCATCGTATGTTTAGTTAGTTAAAGGATGCACCCCTAAAATACACTTTTTTGAATGCCGCTGAGCTGAGACTGACAATCTCCGGATATAATTAGTGTTAATGGCACTGAAATGAAGTGTGTAACTGACTGCAGAACAGCGTTAGTTTTAATGTAGACTTAATATCAAGTGTGAAATGCTTGTGAACAGTACTAATGATTATTGGTTAATCTGGTGTGAAGCGTACGTGACATGTTATTCTTGTACCTCCTATAGCTGCTGCCTGCAGCACCAGGCCACTCGCTTAGTGGCTGTTAGTGCCCCTGCAGACGAGCCAGTTTACCAGGGCGAGAGGCGACAGGCCCCTCCTGCTGGTGCGTGTTTGGGATCGGGCCCAAAGCAGTTGTAATTTAATTGCATAAAACTGCTCAGGGTGTGTTTATTTTTAGCTCTGCCAATG